TCAAGTCAGGGCTCCCGGAACCACCTGGAGGAGCTGGAGGTGTCCCGAGCAGGGGCAGAGGAGAGGGAAGGAGCCAGACAGGGAAGCTGGCAACCCACAGCAGAGATGGTAGGACCGGGGCCTTTCCTCGGTGTGTGCAGGAACCTGGTGGGGCCAGGGCTCAGCGTGCCCCAATCCCCACAGCAGGGAAGCCCACTCTGTGGCCTGGCTGGCTGAACAGGCTGCCCAGCGCTACTATCAGGCCTGTGGGCTGCTGCCACGGCTCACCCTACAAAAGGACGGAGCCCTCCTGGCCCCACAGGACCCCATTCCTGACGTGCTGCAGAGCAATGAGGAGGTGAGCAGAAGCCGGGGCCCTGAGCTCGGGGTGTAGCCTGGTGCTGGGGGCCCTGGGGCTACATGGCAATGATGCTTTCCAGGTGTTGGCTGAAGTGACTTCGTGGGACCTCCCCCCACTCACCGACCGCTACCGCAGGGCCTGCCAGAGCCTGGAGCAAGGTAGGGTCCAGGAGGGCCTCAGCGGCCTGGCAGCAGGACTGGGTATGCAGGCTCCTCCTCCCCATGCCACTCCTGGGTATCCATCAAGGCTGCCTCCCACCACACCTGTCTTCAGGTGTTCTTTCCCCACCCAGTGTCCATACTTGTCGATGGCAGGTAGGGGAAGATGGCTCCATCTGGAGGTGGGACAGAGAGCCACCAGAGCCATGGGGACCAGCCCAGTGCAGGGAAGTCTGGCACAGCTGGGAGCTGCCAGGAAAGCTTCCAAGGAAGCTTGCCTCAGGGACTCTGAGGTGTGGGGGTGGCAGATGGAGGACAGGGCCCCTCTGGGGAGGGCCTGATGCAGCAGAGATGGATCAGCACCATCCACCAGCCACACACGGGACTCACACTGTGCTGGGTCCGTGGGCTGGTGGGAGTGGGCCCTGCACCACCTCCACTGGGTGCCCCATGGCTCATGAGTAAGGAGGGGCCGCCTGGTTTGCTGTCCTGGGTTCACAGGGCAGACCAGGTAGGCTCTGGCCCTGGTGACACCCACCCACCTCCAGGGGAGCACCAGCAGGTGCTGCAGGCCATGGAGCGCCACAGCTCAGGCCCCTTGTTCAGTGCCTGCTCCCTGGCCCTGCGCCAGGCCCAGCTCACGCCCCTGCTGCGGGCCCTCAAGCTGCACACAGCACTCCGGGAGCTACGCCTGGCAGGGAACCGGCTAGGGGACGGATGTGCCACCGAGCTACTGGCTGTCCTGGGCACTGTGCCCAACCTGACCCTCCTCGACCTGTCCTCCAATCATCTGGGCCCTGAAGGCCTGCGCCAACTTGCCATGGGCCTCCTGGGGCAGACCACCTTGCAGGTAGAGGCATGGGGAGCAGCGGGTGGTCATCAGGGCAGGGTCAGGACATAGGCGTTCAGCTGGTCACTAGGTGGAGAGGTGCAGTTGGGAGTGCCGGCCGCTGCCCAGCTCTGGGACAGCAAGGAGACCAGATCCTCTGGGGGGCCTGTGTCTTCTGCAGAACTTGGAGGAGCTGGACTTAAGCATGAACCCTCTTGGGGATGGCTGTGGTCAGGCCCTGGCCTCCATTCTGCAGGCCTGCCCCTCGCTCAGCACCCTGCACCTCCAGGCTTGTGGCTTTGGCCCCAGCTTCTTCCTGAAGGCAGCCCTAGGCAGCGCCTTCCAAGGTAAGCTGACAGGCACATGCGCTCCCTGGCCCCAGGATTCCAGTTGCCATCAGAAGGGCGTGCCCAAGGGCCCAGAGAGGCAGTCACTGGGGATAGTCAGGGGACCCAGAAATGGTGGAGACAAGCTGGGCTCAGCAGTCTGGCCCTCCCCTGTTCCCAGCTGGGAGACCCTGGGCAAGAGCTGCCTCCATTTCCCTGTGCACAGAACCCCAGGGCTTCCCAGAGGGTCATGAGGGTTTTGGGCCCAGGATTACACAGCAATGCTGATGGCCACATGGAGCTGACAGAGGTTCTGGGCCCTGGTGCAGATGCCAAGCACCTGAAGACGCTGTCCCTGTCCTACAACGTCCTGGGCACCTCCGCCCTCGCCCAGGCCCTGCAGAGCCTGCCCACCCACACCCTCCTGCGCCTGGAGCTCAACTCCGTGGCAGCCATAAAGAACGACACCAGCTTGGTGGAGCCCCTGGTCAGATACCTGACCAAGGTACGCAGTTGGGGAGGGGCGCCAAGCCAGAGGAACCCTGGCCAAAGGTCCCACAGATGAAGCCTGGGGGCAGGGGGCTGGGAAGAGGGTTGCAGGTTACGGAAGAGCAGCTGCGGGGGAAGCTTTCTGGAGAGCTGCCTGCCTCAGGCTGTTAATTCCTGGCCAGCAGGAAGGGCCCCAGACAGGTCCCAAGGAGCACACCAGACTCTCCAGGGGGCTCTTCCAGGCAAGGCTGGGTCCCTGTGTGGCAGGAGTGACTCACACCAGAAGAAGAGGTGTTTCCTTCTGATCTGCAAATTCAGGGGACGCTGCTCTCCACTGGTGCCTCCAGGGTCAGAGAGTGTTTGCTCCCTTGTTCCCAAGGAAAAGGAAAGATATCCGGCCTCCTGGGTGTGGGGAGCAGGGAGGCCAGGCGCCCCACTCAGTCTGGCCCCCCTCGGGCCTCTACTTTATCTAGGAAGGCTGTGCTCTGGCACACCTGAGCCTGTCTGCAAACCACCTGGGCGACAAGGCAGTGAGAGACCTAAGCAGGTAACGCCCCTGCCCATGCTCCCCCGCCCTCCTGTGCTCCCCTGTCTGATCTCCAGGCCCAGGAGCCTGGGGGAGCTGGGTCCAGCAGGGAAGGACCACAGAGGTGCCCGCTCCTTCCTCAAGTGTGCCCCGAGGCCTGGCTCCTTCCAGCTTCTCCGCTGCCTCCTGCCCGACCCTCTTTGTGTTTCTCTCTTCCCATAGTCCTGTGGCTCTTGAGAGCCCTTCCCTTGCTGTGTCCTTTCCTGTCACTCTTTGTGCAGCAGTCCACACAAGGGCCACTTGCTCTCATGACCCTCCAGCCTTGGCTGGCTCTTGGGAGTGTCAGGGGCACCCAAGCCAGGCAGTCACACCCAGGCCTGGCCACTGTGGTCCTGGCCCTGGCAGTGCCCGGCCGGCCCTGGGGGAGCGCCTGTGCCTGTGCCCAGCTGGGGGCAGGACCTGCTGGGCCTGGCCTTTGGCTCATAGAGCTGTGGGCTTGCCTGGGGCAGCTTTGCCTAGTGGTGGGGGCCTCCCTCTCTGGAAGCTTACCCTCGTGCTTCCTCCCTTGTCTCAGATGTCTCCCTCTCTGCCCCTCACTCGTCTCGCTGGACCTGTCTGCCAATCCTGAGATCAGCTGTGCCAGCCTGGAGGAGCTCCTATCTGCCCTCAAGGAGCGACCCCAAGGCCTCAGCTTCCTCAGCCTGTCAGGTGAGCCCTCAGTGTGGTGGCCACACCTGTCACACCAGGGCTGATGACAGAGATCCCTCCTCAGGGACCTTCCTGAGGCCCAGCTGGCTCCTCTGAAGGGGCCATCACTGCCACCAGCCAGACAGCAAGTGTGACACAGTGGGGAAAAGTGACCAGCATGACTGGAAAGGGGTGTGAACCCAGCTCCTAAAATGATGGGTTAGGAGGAGCGTGGGGTCTCTGGCCTGTTCAGCCTGACTCTGGGCCATGGCTGAGGAGTCCCCTTCCTCAGGGACTTCATTCCCATTGGCGAGAGGAGGGGCTCAAGGTCAGGGTGGTGAAAGCTGCCACCAAGGGACCTTCTGACTTCATGGCAGGGGCAGCTCTGACCCTCATTTCCCTGCCTGTGGCCTGACTTAGCTTGTTCTCATTCTGGTCACACCAGGGCACAGTACCCCACCACAGCTGTCTTGAGGAAGACCCCAGGGGTGGTGCATTTGGTAAACTGACCACCCAGCAGCCTGGCACATCCAGATGGGGCCTTGGGCAGGAGAGCACCAGGCTTTGCCCTCCAGGAGGACAAGGGCTGGGAGTTGGTGTGCACATGGGGAACCCCTGGGTTCTTGCTGCTCCTCAGTCCCTACCCCACAGGCCAGGCTGGCTGCTCTGGGAAGGCCCCACTGAAGAAGGCAGGCTGGTGGGAGAGCGGCACTCAGCTGAGGGGCTGCTCCCCACACACCTGGCTTGCTGGCATCTGCTCTGTTTCACCAAGTTCCCTGGGGTCCTGAGCCTACTGGGCACTCTCTGGCCTCTGAGGATCAAGCCTTGGAAGCTTAGTGTCCTCCTGAGACTCACAGGCAGCCATATTGTGTCCATTTTATGGATGGAGAGACCTAGGTGTCGTTATAGACAGTCAGAGGCACAGATGTGAATGCTGTTTATTTTGGCGGATCTCCCTTCTGTGTGACCACTGGCCGTGGAAGGCGCCCATGGTCCCAGGCAGCCCCTCTGGGAGAGCACTCCTTTCTAGACTGTTACCGGGCCTCCCCTGGGCTTCTGCCCATGTGCCTGGCTGCAGCCCTTGGAGCCTCAGGGGAAGCGTTTCTTCCCAACGGCCACACTGGTAAAGAGAGAAGGACACGGGCTTGGGAGTCGTATGGGGCTTGCCTGAACACTACAGGCTCCTACAGGCGCGCCCAGCTCTGTCCTGCCAGAGCCACTCTAAGGCCTGCTCCTGCCCCTGCCCCCTCTGCAGGCTGTGCCGTCCAGGGCCCCTTGGGCCTGGGCCTCTGGGACAAGATCACCGCGCAGCTGCAGGAGCTGCAGCTGTGCAGCAGACGCCTCTCCGCTCAGGACCGGGACACTTTGCGCCAGCTGCTGCCCAGCCATCCGGGCCCTGGTGCATGCACCCTGGACCGCGGCCCCAAGCTCTTCTTCAGGCGCCTCTGACGGCGCCGCCCCGTCCCCCTCCTCCAGGAAGCCCTAATAAATCAGAGCGGCTGCTGCCGCAAGGCCCAAGGCGGGTGTCCGCTTTGCTGTAGGGAAGCTGAGAGCCCGCCGGAATTGCGGGCAGTTCCGGCCACTTAGAGGCGCTAAAGGCGAGGGCAAAGCCTCGGCAGTACCGATCGCGAGCCAAGTGCCCGCCCCCGGTGTCGGGGGCGTGGCCAGGGCGGGGGCCGTCCCCGGCGCGCGCGTGCGCAGACGTGAGGGGCGTGCCGATGGGGTGCGCGCAGGCGCAGGCGGGGGCGACCCGCCCCGACGCCATCTCCGGGACCCGGCGAGCCCGCCCAGGTACCGCGGGCCGGGGGACGGGCGGGAAAGGGCCCGCTGGCTGGATGGGGGCGGCGACTCTGGCCTAGGCCCGCGGGCGTCTTCGCACCGTGGGGGGCTACCCTCTTTGCGCCCGGGACCCCAAATCCCTTGGCTTCGCCCGGGGGTTGGCGCCTGCGAGCGAGGCCTCGTTGCGGCGGCTACCTGGACCCGACCGCCGGGCTCTCGGCGTGCCCGAACCTGGCCGCCCCGGCCGCACCCCTTCCGGTAGCACGGCCCCGTGCCGTCACCCGAGTGCGCCTCGCGCTGCGGCCTGGCGGGCGTCCCCGGCGGGCGCGCTGGGCCGCTAGTGCGCTCGTTGCAGGGTCATTCGTCCTCGGAATGGAATTCTCTGGGCCCGCCCAGAATCCTTATTCTTCTTTCGGTCCGGTCTGACCTGGCTCCCTCCTCCCCGGCGTCCGAGGGGGCTGCCGCATCGTGTCTGCGTCCGCACCCACACCCAGGGGTCTGCTGTCGCTGCGCCTGCCTCGGACACGGCCCCTCCCTGTCTGCGCCCTGGGCGCCCCGGCCTCCAGCCTTGCTCTTCCTCTTGTATCTTCGTTCACCCCTTAACCGTCCTCTTTGTGAGGCCATCCTCCCCGACGGTGTCGCCGACCCAGCGCTGCCAGCCTGGGCCTCTCGCCTGGCCTCCAGCTGCCTCATGAGGCACGCCTCCTGGGGTGTCTGCAGAGCCTCTTAAACCCAACACACCCGAAACGGCACACTGTGCTGCACACCTGCCTGCCCTCCAAACCTGCTTCTCTTCCCGGCGACTCCCTCTCAGTCCTCCTTACTGTCGTAGTACCATTGGGCCAAAAACAGGGTGTCATTCTTGGCTCCTTTTAAATTCCCAACCCGGTTCATGTCCATCACTGAGTCTGGTGGTTCACCTCCAAAGCGTGTCGGGAGCTTTCCCCATCAACTTCCTGACTGGCCAGGACCTTCCCATGGGCCTCCTGCTTCTGTCCTTTCTCAGCTCCCTGCCCAGCTGGGAGCCCCAAGAGCTTGTCTTCAACCCTCCAGTAGCTCGAGCTGTGTTAGTATGAAAACTAGAATTCCTTCTGCTGCACGCTTGATCCCGCCTGCCTCTCCATTCTGGTTCCCCAGGAAGCCCCTCAGTCAGAAAGACCTTGGCCCCTGGCTTGTCTGTTCCTCCAAATTTGTGGGATGTGTGTGGTTCCCTCTGCCCAAATGCTTCTCCCCAGCGTATAGCTGCTACCATCTCCTCTTCCTCCTGGTCACCTGGCTCAGAGCAGCCTGCCCTGACTTGCCATGAGGCCCACCACCCCCCCCCACCCCACCTGTTGCTCTGTTCTCTTGCACCCACTCCTGACAGCCTCCAGGTGGGACTGGTGTTCCCAGCAGGGCACAGAATGCCCTGTGTGTTCAGTGTTGTTTCCTATCCCTCTGCGGGGGACCGGGAAGCTCTTTGTGAGGTCTAGTGCTCCAGTTTTAGGGGTCACCTTCGAGTTGGTGCTGGCTCTGCTCTGCAGGTCTCTGGTGTGGCTGCCTGAGCCTGCAGGATGTTTCACGGGATCCCAGCCACTCCAGGCATGGGAGGTGAGTGTGGGCCAAGCTGGGCCTGGGACCCAAAGGGCCTAGGCTTTCAGTCCCTGCTGCAGAGGTTGATGGGAGCAGCGGCTGGGGATTGGGGGAGGTGTCTATAAGTTTCCCCCTACACATGGCCTAAAGGGGTGGCCAGGGGCTGGTACAGTTTATCACTTTATCACTGGCCCAGAGACCTCCAACTGTGGCTGGCTGGGCAGAGATGACAGGGTTGGTGCAGCTGGATTCTGAGGGGCTCTGGGCATCCGAGAGTCACCAAGCCAGGGGAAAGGTCACAAAGCACGTGACACACATTGTTTCTGCCCCATAAGCAAGGTGTGGTCACCTGCTGTAGAGGGAGAGGGCTGCGGAACAGTGGTGGGGTGAGGGGCCAGGCCTGGCTTGTGGCCCTCTGGCCTCAGAGGTGTGTCTTCTGCTCAGGTCCCCCCAGGAACTTGGGGGGCCAAGAGTGGAATTCCCATCCTCCAGCTACCTCTGGGCTCTTGGAGACAGCACAGGGAGAGGCCTCAGGAGAGGTTCTGAAATGAGAATGGGTCCAGGACAGGCAGACAGGCCCATTAGGGGTCGCCTTGTGGCCCGCCTACCAGCTCTGTTTCCTCTGTTGCAGCCCCTGGAAACAAGCCAGAGCTGTATGAGGTGAGTGGCTGACGCTCACCTGGCTGGCATTGGCCAACAGCCAATGCCCATGTGAGCTTCCCCAGGACCCTGCAGCCACCCTGGTGCCACTGACACACTGCCCCCTCTCCAACAGGAAGTGAAGCTGTACAAGAACGCCCGGGAGCGGGAGAAGTGAGTCTAGTACCCAGGCTGCCCACCCCCAAGGAACACATCCATGCCTGCCCGCCTCCCCCAGACAACCTCCCCCAACCCCAGACCCACCCCCACACCGACGGTCAGAAGCACATGGGGTCAGGCTGGGAAAGCAGTGCTGCAGTGCCGTGGAGCCTTGCTGAGGGCCGGGTGGGAGAGGCAGACTGTGCCGAGCTGCCGTGGCTGTGCCCGGGCGGCTGTGCCCCGGGCTCTGGGGGCTTCGGCTTCCTTGCCTCGGTGGACACAGTCCAATAAAGACACTCTCCTTAGGTATGACAACATGGCAGAGCTGTTTGCGGTTGTGAAGACAATGCAGGCCCTGGAGAAGGCATACATCAAGGACTGTGTCACCCCCAATGAGTGAGAGCCTGCCATCCCTGTGCCGTCGATGGCACCCATCCTCGGAAGCTTGTTTCCACCCTCCAGGGCCTGGGTGCTTAGTAGGAAACAAGAGCAAGGGTCTGAGGCCCGAGCTGGGGATTCGTGTGGGTCTCCGCCTCTTCTGTCAGGCTGTGAGTTGCCCACTTCTGTGGGGCCTGCCCAGCACCAGGAGGGTGCCCCTAGGTGCTGGTGGCCTCAGTGTTGTCTCAGCTGGGGAAGTCCTGATGGTGGTACTGAGTGTCCCAGGGGAGAATTGTGCCCACCACCCTGGTGCTGGGGTTCCATCCCAGCCCTGCTCTCCTGGGCACAGATGTCCTTATCAGTGAGAGGGCTTCAGAAAGTGAGAAGGAGTGTTGGAGAGGCCAGTTTGTGAGGTGCTGCTGGCCAGGCCTGGTGCCCAGGAGGTACGTAGGGTCTTTATTCAGTGAAACAGGCCCGCCCCTTAGGACTTTTTTTTTTTTCGTTTTTTTTGGTGAGGAAGATTCACCCTGGGCTAACATCTGTGCCAGTTTTTCTCCATTTTGCATGTGGGTCACCACCACAACATGGCCATTGACTGTTGTAGGTCCACACCCAGGATCCGAACCCGTGAACCCAGGCCACAGAAACAGAGCATGGTTGAACTTAACCACTACACCACGGGGCCTGCCCCAGACCATGAGCTTCTGATGTGGAGGCATGGTCAACATCCCAGGAGAGCGGGCACGAGGGGCTGGCCAGGCCTCTGCCTAGTGCTGGGCTTGGGGCCAGTTTGCACAGTCCAGGCCTGGTCGTGTGTGGCAGCCATACCTTGCACTCCCCTGTCATCCAGAGCTCTTCCTCGTGTAGACCCCCCAGCCTCCCCTCGACAGCCCGTATCTGACCTGTCACCCAGCCCTCCGGGACACCTGCCCCATGCCTGGATGGGCCAAGGGAGAGCGGCATGTGCCGGGCAGGGCTGGCCCAGTGCTGAGGGCAGCGGCCTGGCCCTCTCCCTAGGTACACGGCAGCCTGCTCCCGGCTTCTGGTCCAGTACAAAGCCGCCTTCCGACAGGTTCAGGGCTCAGAGATCAGCTCCATTGATGAGTTCTGCCGCAAGTTCCGTGTGAGTGAGCTGCCCCTCCACCCCGAGGGGCGGGAGGTGGGAAGTGTGGGTGCTGTTGGGACAGGGCCTGGCCAGCACAGGCCTGCTGTCCTGCAAGGCCCAGCACTGTGTGCCCTCCCTCAGCTGGACTGCCCACTTGCCATGGAGAGGATCAAGGAGGACCGACCCATCACCATCAAGGACGACAAGGGCAACCTCAACCGCTGCATTGCAGATGTCGTCTCGGTGTGCCCCATGGCCTCCCGGGAGCCCTGCAGGGAGGCAGGAAGGCCGATGCTGCCGGCCATGGTCACACATTCACACTGAGTCCTGGGGTTTGCAGGGCTGTGCAGCACTTGGACTCATTGGGTGGGAGCCCCCCATAGCTGGGAATGAGAGAGGTGGGCAGGCTTTTCTCCCTGGGCAGCATCCAGGAAGCCCCCCTGAGGGTCCTCCCCAGCCTGAGACCCATGTGGGTGGTGCCCAGGCTCAACACAGCCAGGGCTCCCACAGCCCCAGGAGGCCCAGCCAAAGCGGGGCCATGAGCAGCAGCAGCCCCCACGTCTATGGGCCATGCAGCATGGGGAGGAGCCCCAGGCTGCAGGGATGGGGTGCAGGAGGAGCCCCAAGGGACCAGACAGCTGAGGCTGAGGAGGGAGAGGTGGGTTCCTGAGGCCAGAGGGGCTGGGCGAGGGCTGACCTGGGCTCAGCCCTGCAGAGGAGCCAGGCTTGTAGGCTACAGGTGGTCTCCATCCTCAAGAGCTTAGGGTGGGTCTGTGTTGCCTCATTCACACACTTGCCTCCAGCTCTTCATCACAGTGATGGACAAGCTGCGCCTGGAGATCCGGGCCATGGACGAGGTGTGGCTCCTGGGTCGGGCAGGGTGGGTTGGGGGACTCGGAGCACCAGCAGTGGGGGGCAGGGAGCAGGCTTGGCACACAGCAGGGGACAGGGGGTGGTTCCAGTGTAGCCTCGTCCACAGATCCAGCCTGACCTGCGGGAGCTAATGGAGACTATGCACCGTATGAGCCACCTGCCCCCTGACTTTGAGGGCCGACAGACCGTCAGCCAATGGTGAGTGTCCCCTTAGCTGAGCTGCTGTGTGCCCTTGCAGCTCTGTAAGCCCACACACGCCAGCACTGTGCTCCTGCAGGCTGCAGACCCTGAGCGGCATGTCAGCATCAGACGAGCTAGACGACTCCCAGGTGCGCCAGATGCTCTTCGACCTGGAGTCGGCCTACAACGCCTTCAACCGCTTCCTGCATGCCTGAGCCTGCAGTCTCCCGCCCGGGCTGTGCAGGGAGGAGGGACCAGGTGGGCCCAGGGGAGGGCCACAGCCTCCCATGATTGTTCCTGCTTCCTTCGGACACCCGATCCCTGGACGGTCTGCACAGCTCTTGCTGTCTATAGTAGCCCTGTCTGTGTGTCCATCTATGGTGTTTTGACCCCAGAGGCCCCTCTCCTCCTCACAATAAAGATGCTTTCTAACGTCTCTGCTACTGTCTACGACTCCCCCCATCAGGCCTACCCCGCATGTTTGTTGCTCTCTGGGCCTCAGGTGGGATCCTGCCATCCTGGAGCACTCAGGCTCTGAGCACACAGCCGGTTCATCAGAGGAGGGCCTGAGTGCCCGTTCAGGGGCCACAGCCTCCCTGGTGGGCACTGCCTGGGCAAACGAGGGCAGGTGAGCCTTCACCTGGGCCAGATGTGGCTTGAATCTGACCACAGAGGAGGCCACCTGCCATACCCACCTCTCCTGCCCTTGTCTGAGAACTCCAGGCAGCTTGGGGCCCAGCTGGCTAGAGGCAGCGGTAGCTGTGTCGCCCCAGGTTTGGAAATGTGGCTACAGCCCCTCCAGCATCTCCCCATCCTGAGGGACACTGCAGGCCAGCACAGGGCTTCTGACTTTTCACAGCAGGGCCCTAGGTACAGTGGCTTACTGGAGCCCAGTACGTAAGTCATGGTGGGGGCAGTTTGTCCTCCTGCCCGCCACCAAGGGTGTTCTCGCACGGGAGCAAGGCCTGGCCAGTAGGTGCCACAGAGCTCCTGGGCCAGCCTAGCCTGAGGCCTGGTGAGGGAAGCAATAGACTACAGGTGGGGACATGGGTGTGCAAAGGCCAACACTGATTCATTTACTAGTGTTTACTGTGCACCTGCTACAAGGCAGACACTGTCAGCACTGAAGGCAGCCCTGCCCTGTGGTGTCCACGTCCATGTCCTTGTCCTCACGGGCGGACAGCAGCAAACCACAAGACCAAAGCTCTGGACTCCAAGATAACATTGTTTCATGTTTTAGCAACTCTCACATTGGGGTTGGGGATGCGCCGGAGTTTAATTGTAGCATTTTCTCATTTTTAATGGTGCTTTCTTGATACCTGTGGGATCAAGAAGCACAAAACAAGGCATGTAGTATTTCAGGTGGTGATAAGCAGGGTTGAAGGCTGCCAGTGGAGGGGTGCCATTTCACATGGGGCACTCAGGGCCAGCTGGCCAACCCTGGACAAAAGAACAAGGAGGAAGCCAGGTTCCACAGGGGGAAGAGGGGAGCAGGGGTTGATGCTCCGAACAGAGGCATGTCCCCATTATCACTTGGGTTTTACAGGGGAAAGAGAAGAACAGAAGGGAAAGAGAAGAGACAGAGCCACTGGTGTGGGAGGCCAGGCCCAGGCGGGGTGGGGTGGTGGTGACGACACCATCAGGTTCTTGATGTGGACTGTGCTGCAAGTTGTGCCTACAGGATTTATCGCTGGGCTGGATGCGGTGGAGGGTGAGAACTCCAGGATTACACCCAGGCTTGGCACTTGAGCAACTGGACGGATGGAAGAGCTCCAGCTGAAATGTGGACTCCTGCGGGGGAGCGGGGGCTCTGGGATGGAGTAGCCAGAGCTCTGTTTGCACAGGCTGAGTTGGGTTTGTCTCTCAGACAGTCAAGGGGAGCTGTCAAGTGGATGGCGGGACATCGGAGGCTGGAGTTGCAGAGGGAAGTGTGCAGCACAAAGGCTCCGTGTCTGTGGGGCAGAAGCCTGCAATCAGGTGCCAGGAATTCTACCCAAGAGGTCCAAGGACTGGCACTGCCATGCTTGGAGGTTGGGGATAGAAAGACCCGCAAAGGAGCCAAAGAAGGGGCACCAGGGCCAGGGTAGGAGACCCAGGGGGTCCAGGGCAGACTGAGCCAAGGAGAAACACCAGTAGGTCTGTCCTCTGGGGCTCTCAGTGACCTCGACAAGAGTCGGGGGAGGTGGGGCTTCTGGGGAACCTGGGAGAGGCTGTCAGAGCCAGATCCAGGGCTGCACTGTCAAGGGCTGAAGGGGCAAAGGACCAGGGGAGGTTCTTTTTTTTATTTTTAAAGACTAGCACATGAGCTAACGACTGTCACCAATCTTTTTTTTTCTCCTTCTTCCCAAAGCCTCCTGGTGCATAGTTGTAGGTTCTAGTTGTGAGTGCCTCTGGTTGTGCTGTGTGGGCCTGATGAGCGGTGATATGTCCGTGCCCAGGATCCAAACCGGCAAAACCCTGGGCCACCAAAGTGGAGCGCGTGAACTTAACCACTGGGCCACAGGGCCAGCCCCCAGTCTATATTTTTTTATTGCAATAAAATACATAAAACATAAAATTTGCTATTTTAAACATCTCTAAGTTCAGTAGCGTTAAGTATATTAACAGTGCTGTGCAGCCACCACCACTCATCTCCAGGACTCTTCATCTTCCCACACTGAAACTGTCCCCGTTAAACAACTCCCCATCCCCCTCCCCCAGCCCCTGGCAGCCACCATGCTGCCTGCTGTCCCTAGATCGACTCCTCTAGGGACCTCACATGATTGGGATCACACAGTATGCGTCTCTCTGTGATGGGCTTATTTCACTTAGCATAATGTCTTCAAGGTTCATCCATGTTATAGCGTGTATCAGAACTTCCTTCCTTTTTAAGGCTGTATAATATTGAGTTCTATGTATTTACCACACTTTGTTTATCCGTCCGTCCATAGATGGACACTTGGGCTGTTTCTGTGTGTTGGCCACTGTGCACATGGGCATGTGTTTTAAGACAGGAGTGACTGCAGTGTGCCTGTTGGATGACGGAATGATGCAGGAGGGGTCTGTGGATACAGGAGAGGGTGCAGCACCCAGAGGACAACCCAGCACCAGGCGGGGGGCAGGCAGGTGTGCAGGGGAGCTGGTGACTCTGTCTGTGGCTGCTCTAGGCTAGGAAGGAGGACATCGGCTGGGAGAGGTGGGGGGACATGAAGCAGAGGAATGTGGGCCAGCACTGAGGTCCGCTGAGGTGTGAGGGGCTGCTGAGGGGAGTGCCAGCCATGTGCTGAGCCCTCAAGGGCTCAGGCAGGTCTGCCCCTCAGCCAGGGACCTGGGAAGGCCAGTGGGTGGCTGGGCTGAGACCTTTGCCCAGAAGCTAACAGACCCTTGAGTAGTGGCCTAAGGCGGCAGCCTGGTCCCAGGTTCCAGCTCCAGCTGGCCCAGCCGTCCTGATGTGGTAGGTGAGGAAAAAGACCAGTTTGGGCCCACAGTTTTCAGAACTGTGTGAGGGGGTGTCTGAAGCTCTCCCGCTTCCCTCATTGACCCAGGGATCCGGGAATCATCTAGATCCTGAAGGCTCTTCCCATCCCCTCCCCTGCCCCAGCACCCCCTTAGGACCCATGGATGTCACATCTTGGTGCTGTCCAGCATGTGTGTGGGTGGGGTGGGCAGGAGAAGCACTTGACCCCAGGCCCAGGACATTGTCCTAAGCCTGATGCCCTGCCCTGGGTGCCAAAGGACACTGGGGACAAAGTCCTTGGGCCTAGGCTTCCCCACCCCAACCACACTCCACCCCATGGCTGTATGTCATATCTACCCTCAGGGTCAGGGGTCACTGAACCAGGTGAGGAGGGGCCCTCCAAAAGGCAAGGCTGCCCTGAGACCTGGGTGGTGGTGTTGGCTGGCTCCCTGGGGTCTGCCCCTTCCCCTAGACTGCCAACTAGGCAGAGATAAGGCCCAGGGGTTCAAAGGCCAGAGAGGGAACCTGCAGGGAGGGGCAGGGAGCAGGGCTGGGAGCCACAGCCCTCCCCCACCCCCCTGGGCCTAGAGCCCAGGATCCTGCCACACTTCCTCCCCACCTGCAGAGCCCCTCCCCACGGGCCAGGGGAAGGCAATGTTGGGGGGGGGGATGGTGGAGGACTCAGGTTCCCATTTGTCCGTGTACGGCTTTCCTAGGGAATTTTCTCTGGAACATTTGTGGGGGAGCATGACTGAGCTGGCACCTCATCGGTTCCCTTGGACTCCAGCCCACCCCCAACACGGAGGGCCTAGGAGGAGAGGGCCCCACATCTCCACCCCCAACTGGGACCTCAAAGGCTCTGGGGTGGCGGTGGTGGGGTGGGGTTGGGGGTGGTCTAAGCTGTCTGAGCCAGCCAGGCCCCGCTGGAAGGGGCTGGGAGGGGAGTGGGGCAAGGGTGTGTAGAGGGGGGCAAGGGTGTGTGCTGGGGAGCTCACCGGTGGACTGCTGGGGATGGGGTCTGTGTGAGACTGTGCTGGCACCCATGCACCTCTGCCCCAGGCCCCTGTGCCTGAGGCAGCCCCTAGAGAGAGGGCCACAGGAGGTGACACCCCAGATCCTTGGGGGAGTGGAGAGGGTGGCCCTGCCCCACAGCTCTAAGGGGTGGCAGGCAGGCTAGCGCAAGCCCAGGCTGCCTTGGCCAGGGGAAGGGGCCCAGCTCCTCGCTGTGGGGAGGATCTGCCACTGGAATGGTTAACCCACGACGCCTTCAGCAGCCAATCACAGAGCCCTGCAGGAAATACCTGAGAGAGATCCTCGTGCCTGGGGCGGGCGGGTCGAGCCCAGCCCTAGTCCAGCCCCAGGCAGCCTGCGCCCGCCCGCAGCCAGCCCCAGCGAACACAGCCTCCCTAGGGCAATGAGCGCACGTGGGGGCCTCAGCATGGCAGGCCTGCTCCAGCTCAAGCCGGGGCTGCTGCTGGCCGTGCTGGTGGTGACTGGGACGGCGGCTCAGCCCGCCCTTCTTCTGACCTTGCTGTCCTCAGGCCAGGGAGTTCTGGACCGCGTGGCACTGGGCAGCCTGTTAAATACACTGGCGGCCCGTGTGCACTGCGCCGACGGGCCGTGTGGAAAGGTAATAGCCCCACCCGACAGGTCCCCCAGCCCTGGCCCGCTCCACCCCAAGGACTGGCAGCAAAGGGCCCTGGGCAAACTCCAGGAGGCGGGCCGAGGCCGGGTGGCCAAGAACCTGAGTGCCCTAGCCCTGCCTGCAGACCCGAGCCCACCCTCCTCTGCTCCTGTTCAGATAGGCCTGCTCTGCTGAGGGTAGGGGGGCTGCACTGGGGATACACAGCTCCAAGTCCCCAGGCTGCTCCCCCACCCCAGCTGCCCAGCAGTCCCCAGGCCATCAAGTTGGCAGTGGTTCCAGGAAGAAACACTGCAGGATGAAGGGACCACTACCTGGGGTCCCTCTGTGTGTACAAGCCTGTAACTGACGGTGGGGA